ACTTTTTCACTGGAGGAAGCGTTATTATGGATTATGGACTATTATTATGGTATTTTAGTTAAAAACGTCTTAATGCTGGATTTGTCTCAGCTTTTGTCTTCTCCAGATGTTAACTGATGGACTGGAGTGCTGTGGATTATTGTGATGTTTTTATCAGCTGTTTGGACTCTCGTTCTGACGGCACCCATTCACTGCAGAGCATCCATTGCTGAGACACTGATGCAGTGCTACATTTCTACAAACCTGATGAAGAAACAAACTCATCCTAATCTCTGATGACCTGAGGGTGAGGATATTTTCAGCAAAAATTGTAATTTTGGGGCGAACCGTTCCTGTGATGTAAGATAGATGCAAAAAATGTAAAATAATTCAAAAGATTTAATGCGTGTGTTAAAGTTAGTTCATTGTTGTATTTCCTCAGAGAGGAAGATCACTCCAGATGAAGACCTCATCATTCTCATTGATGGTCTGAATGAGGCTGAGTTCCACAAACCAGACTACGGTGACACCATTGTGTCTTTCCTCTGTAAGACCATCAGCAAGTTCCCAGCCTGGCTCAAGCTGCTGGTGACAGTCAGGACCTCCCTGCAGGTAAACACACGCACACACTCTCACTACACTATTATATGCCTCAGTCTCGCATAACCACTGCTCTGATTTGTACCATATAGAATCATTGCATATTTCCAATATTTGCTCTCTGGAATTGATTCTCAATTATATCGTGGCATATATTTCTAACTGTATATTAATATAATGTCTCACACATATATACAGTATTCAGTTTAATCAAAATCTGAATAATTAGATTCCATAAATTATGGGAAATAAAATATATATTTAGCTTACAAATATAATAAATAAAAAATACAGGACTATTTAAAAGTTTGGGAGTCTGGGAGCTCACTTAGAACAAAAATACAGTAAAAGCAGTAAAAATTGTGAAATATTATTACAATGTAAAACAGCTGTGTTCTATGTGAATCTCTGTTAAACTGTAATGTATTTCTGTGATGCGCAGCTGTATTTTCAGCATCATTACTGCAGTCTTCAGTGTCACATGATCTTCAGAAATCAGTATAATATGCTGATCTGCTGCTCGAGAAACATTTCTGATTATTATCAATGTTGAAAACAGTGATACATTTTATTTTTCAGGATCCACAGATCAATAAAAAAATAAAAAGAACAGCATTTATTTGAAATAGAAATATTTTGTAACATTACAGATGTCTTTACTGTTACTTTTGATCAATTTAATGCGTCCTTGCTGAATAAAAGTATCAGTTTCTTACTGATTCCAAATTTTTAACAGATGTTAGAAATAAAATAAGTAGAAATTTGTTTCCGTGACATTTTTGGCCCAGACCCCTGGTATGCTGACATAGGAAACTTGATCATTTGAAGATTTTACAGTTATAAATCAGTTTTTTTTATTTGCTTGTCAGTAAACTTCTTTTGTTTTGTTTGTCAGAATATTCAATTACTACATAAATGGATGAATTTTAAATAGTTTTAATGCATTTGTCTTTCAATAACCATGTTGCGCTACTGAGATAACATGGCTTCAACATAAAAAAAACTGGTTTCACTTTATTTTGATGGTCTTTTTAACACATACTGTTGACTTCTCATTAGAGTGTTAGTAGAGTATTAGTAGACTGCTAGGGTTAGAGTTAGAATAAGTTGACATGTACTTGCAAAGTTACTTATAGTCAGTAGAATATCTGCTGGCACACCATCACAATAAAGAGTTAGCAGATATTAATCAGACGGTCTACTAATACTCTAACGAGAGTTTGTTGACATGCAGGTGAAAAGTTACTTATTGTCAACAAAATGCTCAAAAGGGACCATCACAATAAAGTGTTGACAAAAAAACACTTTATTTTGATAGTCCA